TGCGGCTTTTATTATAGTGCTCGAGACTCTAGGTCCCAGTCAATGAACAGCAGAGTTTGGAGACAGCTAAAGGCTTTGAAATTTGCTTCTATCTCCTAAACATCTTTGAGCCTTTTAATAGGATTTTTCTTTTCTACTCGCATCATTCTTACCCTCCTCAACTTCCTTTGGGTTGGTAAACAGGACCCAACACAATTAAAAAAAATGAATTGCTAAGGTGGAGTTTGCTACAATCTACTATAGATATGACCCTTATTAGTTTTTTATTTTGTCAAAAATAGTTTTGTTGGCTTTATGTGTTGTGAAAAAAAAAAAACTATCATGCGCATAAATAGTAAAAGTAAAGCAAGCTTCCTTATAAGTAAATCAACATTCATAAAGTTGTAGAGAATGTGCATCTATGAAAAGAGCCTAAGCCCGAGATCCATAGCCTAGTAGCTGCTATAAAGCTTTGGGATCTCTTTTGAGATGGTTAGGTCCACCATATGAGGTAAATAAGCTCTACAGAGTAGGATAAATAATCTATCTTTGGCTTCAAATCTCCATTCCATTTATCATAATTAGATTTCTGCATAAAAAGGAATAGCACATGGAAAATGAACAATGAAGCCAAAACGCTCTGGGTTGTGATGCCAATGCATAAAGTGTAATACATGAACATCAATGCACATTATACTTCGAATACTTCCTAGATGTATCTTAGATGAAGTAAGGCTTGTGTGACAATGATAATTCACCACTCATAGCAAACTATCCAAAAATTATTTTTAATAATGAAACTAAGTTTCTACAACTATCTTTTATTAAAAAAGAAGCATCTTTGTGTACTATAACAAAATAGCAAAACTTGCTATGAATTAATTCAAATATGACCAAGCTAGAAATTAGATAAAAGTATTGAGCAAAGTCATGCCTAACGTTGATGAGAATCATACTGCCCTAGATAGTCAGAAGCACCACCTACAATTACAAAAATATACCCACAAAGGGCCAACCAAGTTGACCAACCTGTTAAAGCAGTCTGAAACCAATCTGCTTTATATTCATACAAGAACATAGAATTTAATGTAAATAAATGGAATATTCTGATTTTAAAAGGTTAGAGAAAAGAGGAACTATCCTCTTTCTTTCATAGACCAAATTCCTTCATAGGGGTTGAAATTGAGCAAAAAAATTTTATTGATATCAAAAGTTGTATAAATACAGGATACCAGAGCAATAAAATAGGAAAAACGTAAACTAGAAATTATATAAACAAGGAAACACATAAACTAGGAAATACAAAAACTAAGAAATACATAAACAAGAAAATACATAAATTAGGAAATATCCGGAAAGGAAAGGAAATAACTAAATAATTCTATTACTCCCTCTCAAGTTGAATCATAGATGTCAATCATGTTCAACTTGGATTCGAAGTAGTCAAACAACGACCGAAGAAGATTCTTTGTGAGGATATCTACTAGCTGACACTTGGATGGGACAAACAGAACACAAATCTCCCCGGAATATAGCTTCTCCTTAATTAAGTGAAGGTCAATCTCTACATACTTGGAGGAACAGAGACCAGCACCAGCATACATAACTCACGGAGCATGATGTGCAACCAGATAGCTTCACATATTCTCAAGGACAGAACGAAACTCGGCTTCAGCAAACCACCGACTATTCTTTGCTTTCCCAATTGGCAAGGTTTCCCCACACGAAGAAGCAATAGCCCGAGGTAGATTGTCGATCATGGACGGACCCAGCCGAATTAGCATCTGTATAAACTACAATAGAGCGACAGGTGTGGCGAGAGAATAACAAGCTTGAGCCCGGAGTGCCTTTTAAGTTTTGGAAAATCCGATGGATAGCGGTCAAATGGTGCTCATAGTGTCAGGCATGAACTAACTTACAAAATCAACAGCATGACAAATGTCAAGGCGCTTATGGGCTAACGAGGTCCAGAAGTTATAAATTTTTGTGAGGACTCAATTGATGAAATATGTGATGGAAAGTACGGCATCAATCCAAAACAATTTTAGAACATTAGATTGAAACGTAATAGTACAAGCAACTTCGAGAAGGTGTGAAATTTTTCGCTCCACTGTCCCATTTTGTTTAAGAGTACCCATATAGGAGCTATGATGGAGGATGACTTACCATGAATTCTTCCAATACAGGGTTAAAAATTTTACAATTGTTGTCGCTCCGAAGGACTTAAATTGATGTTTTGAATTGAGTCAAAATGAAGAAATGAAAATTATTGAAGATGACCACAACTTCAGATTTATCTTGTAAGTTATATACCTAAGTCATTCGAATGTGGTCATCAATCAAGGTAAGGAACTATTGTTTATTGGTGTAGCTTAGAATTCGAGAGGTGAAAAAGGAGCGTAACGAGTGTAAGAGTAGGATAGATATGGAACGTGATAATGTTTAGCTAACTGACAAAACTCACATTTGAACATAGAAAGACTTTATTAGTAAATATCAAAGGATACAACTATTTTAAATATTGAAAATTGGGCTGACCCAAACAACAATGTAGAAGCATAATAGAACATTTAGTGGACAGGGAAAAACTACAACTATTGGATGGAGTGTCCTCGTCATTAATATCTTTCCTTTGGAAGAAGTAGAGTCTGGCTACTCGCTTAACAAGTTCCAATCATTCTCACTGAACGACGATCCTGAAAGACACAAACACCAAGAGAAAAATGAGCAATGCAATCAAGTTCACGTGTCAACTTATTGACTGACCAGAGGTTACACTTCAGCAAAGATAGGTGTAACACAAATTCTAGAGTAAGCCTAGCTAATAGAACAACAGGCCCTTTACCCACAATGGAACTATAAGAGTCGTCAGCACTTTTATAGTATCTCTACCGGAACAGAGAGAATATATCGAGAAAACTTTAGAAGATCCGGTCATGTAGTCCATGCACTTGAATTAATAATCCGCAGACTAAAAGAAGCAAAAGCAGTGAGTGTTATAGGAATGTTATCTTGACAAACATGGGACGTCGATGGGCCGAAAGAGAACTGACTAGATCCAAGCAGCTTAATTAAGTGCCCCATGTGACTCTGAGTGGAGTTTAGTGATTCTGAGATGTTCCAAGTGGGAGCCGATTGTACTGGCGTGATTTCTGAGTTCGTAGCGAGACCCTTAGCAGCGGAAGATTTGGCCAAAGATTTATTAGTCAGTTTCCCGAGGAGCTTCCTACACTAATGGAAGTGATTAGGTAGGGTATGTGACAAAAATCACATGCAGAATGATTAGCACATGGCGTGGAAGGGTGTTGAGCACTAATGGAAACTAAGGCGGAAGCTTCGACTAAAGGAGTGGAGGTGTCAAGCATAACAAGTCTCCAGCTTTCTTCGCGGCGAATCTCGGTGAATGCTGCCTGAGTTGAAGGGGATCCCGACCAAGAATACAACCCCAAACTTCGTCGAGATCCTTATTTAGGCCTGCCAGGAATTGAAGCACATGATCCTTTACCATAATTTTTTGGAAGAGAGAAAGATCAGTCGGAGAGTCCCGAGTGTAGTCATAGTTGAGATCGCATTCCATCCTTCAGGCAACTGAGTCATTGCAATACTGTGTCACGGTCCTTGATCCCTATTTCGCCTATTGGATCTTAGAAACCTCATAGATTTGTTCAGAATTCCCTGCAACAGAGTAGGTATCATGAGCTGTAGTCCAAAAGTCACTTGCAGATGGAAGAAACAAGTACGAACAGCCAATCAAAGTCTCCATGGAATTAGTCAGCCACGACATGACCATGGAATTCTCCAATTCCCACATTACAAACGTCGGGACAACCTTTGAAGGTTCATGAATCATACCGTGAGATGGTTAAATTTCTCGCGTCCTTTGAGGAACAATGACACGGCTTGAGACCATTAGAAAAAATTAAAGTCGTTAAGTTTATAGGTGGTGATCAAAAAGTTCATGTGGTTTTTAGGTCCTTCGGTTTGCGAAGGGATTAAGGTCGGTGTTGATCCTTTTGTTGACTCAATTACATCGTCGGAAAAAGGCTCGGTGGTGGATTCCTCCATTATTCCGACCGAGACAAAGGTAAGATTGGGATGTCGAGACATAGAAAGATTTTGGTTGCAAGACGAAGAGTCGGCGAAGGTAGGTCCTGCAGTGGATTGATTTGGCTGCTGATTGGGCCGGCTGGAGGGAGGTGTTGAGACTAGAAACACCTGCCAGAAGAAACAACAGCAATAATCTTCAAAAAACTAGTGTCGGGAAAGACTACAGGGAAGTCGGGACTGAAATCTGCAGGGTAAGGCCCCAGCAAAGGGAGAATCAGCAGGGAAAAGGGGAGTCGACAACAGAAAAACCTGCATGAGAAGTCTACATGAAGTGCCGACGACTAAGATGTTGTATCAGCGGTAGCTAGTGTTAGATACTTTACTCTGATATCGCGTTAAAATTCAACAAGATAATTTTATTGATATCAAAAGAGATATACATACAGGATACAAGAGTTATAAAACAGGAAAGACATAAACTCAGAAATACATAAACAAGGAAATACATAAATTAGGAAATATATAAACAAGGAAATACATAAATTAGGAAATAACTAAATAATTCTAATAATAGGCATGACCTATTTATCCACATTATGGTCATTCAAGCCTCCTCTTTGTTGCCTCTCCAATATGCACTTCCATATAATAATTTAAAGCTTATTTCAAATATCTTCCATCAAAACAATGCCCTCTTCTCACAAATATATAGCAAGCTCTAACTTGAAACACCATCCCTGTTAGACAACACATCAAACTCTCATTATGAAACCACTGTCTTCAATCATCTTAAACATCCTAGGATGAGCAACCTTCCATTTCAAAGGGAAGAAAACAAGAAACTATTAAAAAGAGTAAATACCCAATGGAACATTGATCAAAGAGCACCCTAAAAATATTGTGTGATAACAAAAACTTCATAGGAGCTAAGGACGTACTCAAGCTTAATTTAGCAATGTAAGGAAGATCAATACCTGTGCAAAGTGCTCGAAAATTCTCTGCCAAAATAAGAAAGGCCAAAAAATAAACTTAAGAACTAATAAAGATAAAGCTATACTACTTATAATAAAAAGTTCACAAAAAGATAAGAAAATACCAGCAGTTTTTGGTACAGTTTTACCGAAGAGACCCATCACAATGCGACCTGTTTATAGAATGTACGGACAACATTGACAATTATTAAAAAGTTTGTGAATTACTAATAAATCATTTTCAAATTAATGAAACAAGAATATTAAATTAAAACAACAATATCAACTAATTTAAATTAGACGACATACTAGTTATGAACAAGGTGATTATTACAAATTTCATAGATTACTAATCAAATAAACAAAAAAGAACATACAGAGTTGATAAGGGAAACTGAACATAATAAGATCAAGATAAAAGAATATATCAATATGAAAATCATAATAAATATCATTAATGGATAAAGGTAAGATTATGTGTTTGCCCTGATGTTATTGAGCATCCCATTGATCATGTTTATAATTTAATTCAAATTGGATTATTTTGTAAAACAGCAAAACAAAAATTAAACATGGTAGTTGTACTTATATAAAAAAACACACAAGGCCAAGGCAAATAATTGATACGAAGTTTTAAAATAAAACAACAATATCAACTAATTTAAATTAGAAGACAAACTAGTTATGAACATGGTGATCAATTCAAAGGTCATAGATAAATAAACAAATAAGAACATGCAGAGTTTATACTACAAACTAGATGTAATAGAATCGGAATAAAAGAATATATCAATATGGAAATCATTATAAATATCATTAATGGATAAAGGTGAGATCTGTGTTCATCCTGATGTTATGAGCATCCCATGATCATCTTTATAATTTAGTTCAAGTTGGATTATTGTGTAAAACAACCAAGCAAATATTGAACATAATAGTTTAATTATATTTAAAAAACACACAAGGCTAAGGCAAATAATTTGTTATGGTGGTATTACGAGAAAGATCAAGGAAGAGAAAGACATTGCCTTATCAAATAAAGTATGCTTAAAATTTTCAATATGTATATATATATACAATGCATATATGTAAGGAAAATGGACATGATGCATGAATTAACACCAAAGTACTGCATATCAAAATATTCAAGCTAGGCTTAACATTTTTTTATCACACGCCACTCTACAGTAATATAAAGCTAAAGCTCACATTTCATGGTCTGACATAAATCTTTGCAATGTTCACTGTGTACAACTATACCTAATGGACATTCAACTTCATAAAGAAAAGATGATTCAAAGTTTTGGGAATCCTATACACCATTCAACTTTATCACGTCATATCCTAACATATGATAAACAAATATGAAGGCATTAGCAATTTTTTATTATTTCTTGCAAAAGATATATGATAAATCAATACTATTGAAAATATGCTAAAAAAGATGTTCATACCAAAACTAGTCCCGATGATCCATAAAAGTGCAATAAAAAATGCAGTAAGAAATATGTATTGCTTCAAGCACAATTGTAACTTAAATAAATGTGGCAAATGATGTATCTTTACAATATTTCACATACCAGCAGGCTTTCCATCAATCTCCACGTCAAAGAAAACCTTGTGTGTGACTTCCTTCAAATCCTTGGTTGCATTAGCCTGAAATTTCAATCATACAGTATAAGCAGACAAGATAAATATCCATTTCTACACAATACAAGCCATAAAATGATCATACGAATAAAGAAAATAAAAGCAAATGGTTACTCAGATAATTAGTTCCCAGTTTATTTAAACAAGCAAAAAAGCTAACTAGGGATGCAAGAATGAATATGAAGATGGACAAGTTTGCAACATGGGTTGATGAGAAATTACAAAAAATCAATTGACACCTAATTTCACTATGTAAATTGACCTTTAAGTTATGGACAAAAACATGTGCAAAAATATACATAAATGGATCAAACACTGATTAGATAATAATGACATATAATGGTTAAAGCCATTCAAAATTGGTTTAATTGGTTTTGAGCTTAGAAGCAACAAGGCCAGCAACATTTAAGAATCATAATTCCTAATAAGGAAGCATCAGAAAGGCTTCAAAAATTAAAAATTTCAAAGATGATTCAAGGTTAGTTTAATAATCTCTTCGATGAAATGTTATATTATTTATGATAAATAATGTTTGATATAATATTATCTCTCGCATTGGTGTTATCTAAACAAAAATAGCATTCAAGATTAAAGTAATCTATATTACTACCAAATTGAACGCCAGCAAGATTACCTAAATATTGATCGTTTAAGAAAAAAGAATGAGAAAATGGTAAGAAAAATGTAGCCATTGTTAATTGCTATAAATAACATGTTACTTCAAATAAGATGCCATTAAAGCAAATAAACAACAATTTGACAGATAACATTGCCATCTTAAAAGCATTGATATCTAGTTCATAGTAATATCAAGGTATCAATGAAACAAGCATATCCGTAACAAGAAAAGCTCAGCTGCAAAGAAACAGGGTCAATTACTACTCAGGACTCATCGCCAAACACCTCCAATTTTCAGTGTTCGCAGGGTTGATTGTCTGGACCTTAATGTTTTGCTGTAAAATCACACATTAACATTAGCCAGAAAACTTCCAATCCGCTGATGAGTTGAATTAGTTAAAATGATTCAACAAGCATAAATCCTAATTTCGATGAATTATATCACTATAGAGCTTGACTATTACTGTGGCAAAAAAACAGCAAATAAGGAAAAAATTACAGATCACGGAAGGCGTAGAACCTTTATGATAGACATGGTGGCTAAAAGGCATGTGATGGATACGAATGCCAAGCAAATCTTCTTCTTCGTGATCGCCATAGTTGCGTCCGCCTTGGCTTCTCGACGTGATGCTGTTCTCCTCTTCCCTTCCAGTTTTTGCACGAATTGAGACTAAGCGGCAGACCCTTAGGGCAGGAGAAATTATAGCATACGGACACTTATTTCAGTTTTAAAAAAAAAAAAAAAAAAAAAATTAGGGGGGGCCCACCGAACTGTCAAGATCGGACACCGCACGTACCTATCTGTATGGAATAATTTTCTTAGGGAGAAATTATTACATACGGACACCGCATGCATCTCTGCATGCGGCGGCCGAGCCTGACGGCAGAATATGGATTATTTCAGTTTAAAAAAAAAATTTTAGGTGGGGCCCACCGAAATCGGGACCGTATATCAGGTGTCGTAAATCAGTTGATTTACGGTCAGCTGATTTACGGTCAGGATCAGACACCGCACGCAAGATGCTTGCGGTGTCCAATCCGTATGGAATAATTTTTCTTAGGAAGAAATTATTACCGTAGATCACTACGGTCAGGATTATTTCAGTTTTTTTTTTAAAAAAAAATTTAGGTGGGGCCCACCGAAATACATCCTGACCGTAATTTACAGTCAGGATCGGACAGCGCATGCATCTGTATGGAATAATTTTTCTTAGGGAGAAATTATTGCATACGGACACAACATGGATGGTATGTATGTAAATGCCCTATTTCAAATATGGGCTAATATTTAATAAATTTTGATGGTGAAATTAGGTAGGGATTTAGGGTATGTTTACAAAACAAAAAAAACACAAATAAAAAAAAATCAGTAATATATTTTGTAGATAACTATCACACATCGATTTGCATATTTTTTTTTTGTCTCATAAAAATTGTCGTGATAAGAAACAAGAAAAACTACAATAATGTAATAACTAAAAGGATGCTAACATTTTTTTTAGATAAAAATATTTATGAGGATTTATATATATACCTCCTAATTCTTATCTATTTATAATTCTAACATCTAAATTTTAATAATTACTTGTATAACAATCAAATAATATATGTGTGCGCGTGTACCTAAGCATTTGGTTATATGATATGAATCTAAATTACCACGCTAGCTTTCAAAACAAATATTTTTATTCATAATAAATGCCCATGTACTTCTATAAATATTTGAGCGGACTCAATTAGGAGTATTATTTACGTGTGTCATACGCACGCAGTTCTGCATGCGTACTACCCCAACCTTCTAATAGCTCAGTTATTGGGGGTTATTCAGAGGTTCTTAGGGGTATTAACATCAATAACATCTCAATAACCTACATATACCTTATGTGGTCCGTGCTCATGTTGTTTACTGTCATTCGAAGGTTTTGTAAGGTTATTGGAGGTATTAACTCAAATAACACCGATGCAATCCTCCAATACCCCCCAATAACTAAAGTGTGCACACAAAACTGCTTGTGTATGACGTAAGTAAATATTTTTCCTCAATTAGATATTTAGGGTCGTTGTAAATGCCCCCAAATAATTCTTGTTGTCTGTTTAATGAGATTATAACTGTTCGTAAGAATTACTGTAGGTGTTTTAATAAATAAGTCAATTTTTTAATGTTATTATGTTATTATCTTTTTTTTTCTTTTGAAAAATTGTTCTATTTTTTCTGCAATTACAATTTCTAAATGTTATTATGGTGTGTGTGTGTGTAATGAAATTGT